GTGAGCGAGCCGCGTGCCCTTTGCACCAGGTTTGCACGCAGCGGGGTGATGGATCTGGCCTGTCTGTAGGTCAAGGACTTCAAAGCAAAGGGCCGGTGCCACGATCTCCTGCAGGCTGCTCCCTCTCCTGGCTGTGCCGCTCGATTCGAAGGCAGCACAGCAGCGTTCCTCCAAAGCACCGGGACCGCAGGCGCTTGTCCCCATCCCGGCCGTGCTGGCAGCGGGGTGGGAGGCTTGGCTGTCGCGGTGCCGCTGGAACGCTCCTTGTCCCGTCTGAAGCGAACGTGGGGCAGCACTACAGCCGGTGATGTCTGCTGCGCTTCAGGCAAGCGTTTTGGAGAAACAGCTGGATTTTCAGAGTGGTGGAGGCCGGCATTCGTACCTCTCTGTTTTGGGAACCAGGCAGGGCTGAGATGGCAGGGGATGGAAATGCGCGGCAGGAGGGCTTACCAGGGGCTGCGGCTTTCCGCTCGTCTTAACTGCAGCCCTCTTCTCACCACCTTTCACAGCACTCGGGTCGGAGCACGGTGCTTCGTTTGTAATTCAAACCTGCAAACCCCCAGCGGGTCCCTGAAACCCAGAACAAAAATTCACCCTCCGGTACGTGGCTTCACTGGGCTTGGCACAGCCTCGTCCTCCTCCTCCTCGTCACTGGTGTCCCCCCGCCCTTCGCTGATGTTCCCCAGCCCCTGGGAAGGGTTGACCTCATTGTCATCTCCAGGTTCCCACATCTGGTTCTTGTTAGCAGATCCCAGGATGAAGTTCTTCAGCTCTCTCCCTTCCTCCCACCCCCAGGTGACCCAGGCAGGATTACGGGTGATTAGAAGACAGGCAGCAGAGCAAGGCTAGGTGGGGGAGGGACTGTTATAAATAGAAATACCATAAACATATCAGCCTATCACTCGAGGTAAATTCTGGTTTTAATCTCTCAGACCTGTAAATATGACAATTCACGGGGGCTAGACGCCGTTAACTCTTTCCGAGCCCCGTGGCTGGGTGCCCATCTCCAGTGGGAAGCGGGATGCGGTGGAGCACCTGGAAATGGGACGGGGAGCGAGTTCTTGAGCCGAGAGGATGTCACCAGGAGGGACGAGCTCGAGCTGGCAGACCCATGGTGTCGGTGCAGGGGCAGGGAGGAGACAGCAGCGCGGGAAGCACCTCCGTTTGGATGTCGATCGTGTTTGGAGGTTTGGGGAAAGCAGAGAAAACCAGTCCAAACATTGGGATTCCTGACATTCTCACACGTACGGGGGCCTCTGCTCGCCCGGCTCTGCTCACGAGGAGGGTGCTGCGGGTTTAACATCTTCTTGTTCTTCAGGCAAAGTTTACTTTTTTGGGGGATCTCCTCAACCCTTTTGTGAGGGAAGGGTTAGAAAGCGGAGCGGACGGGAGGGGTGACAAGGTGTGAGAGCGGGGTGGCAACGCGGAGGCCGAGAAGAGGCCAGGACGTAGGGACCTGGCAGGTTTGGGAGTTTCTTTGCAGCAGCGCTGACTGCAGGAGTTGTGAAATAGAAGGTTGTCCTGGAAGAGTTTGCCCTGAGGAGTCTCCATGTCTGCACAGGGAGGTCGGCGTGTTAGCAATGGCTGAATCACTCGGGCCTGGTGGCCTCCTGCCCTGGGATGTTCATCGTGTGCAGAGAGCACTATAAAGCTGGTTTGCAAGCCGAGGCACTTTGGGCAGCTCTGTGGGTGCCTGCGGCACCTCTCCGGGCTTGCTGCTCTGGGATGGAAGGCAGAATTCATCCTGCAGAGCTTCGGGGACATCAGAGGGGTTACGGGTGACAAGAGCTCTCGCGTACTCTCTGGAGCGGGCACTGGTGCAGAGGCAGGGCCGTAGGCGGGAGATGCTCTGTGGGGATCGCTGCTGCTCTTCCCACAGGGAGAGGGCAAACGCCGGCAGCACGGGCGAGCTCAGAGCTTCCCTGGGATCCTCCGGCTCTCTTCTGCTGGGACGAGGAGATGCGGGAGTCTGTCTCGTGCGGAGCTGTGGGGGTGTTGAACTTCCCAGGGTCCCTCCTCGGTGGCTTCGGGCTTCCTCCTAATCCCCACTTTGGAGGGGGAGGGAGTATTGTTAGTGCCGTTAGGAGCTCGTGACTCTACGAAGTATTAGCTTTTAATTAATCACCTAAGCTGGCTTTTGGTAAGAGCCCGGCCTGTGTGGAAGCTACAGGCGGTGGGACGTTCCTCGTGCAGGTTTGCCAGCGAGACCCGCTGCCCTGGCATCCCCATTTCATCATAGCTGGTGCGAGTGCCTCTGTCCCCAAGCAGGGGACAATCCTTTTATTTTTAGTGGGCAGCCCTTTCCCATCGCACATGCGCAGCCGGACGCTGCCACGGCTGTTATCACGTCTCAATTCCACAGCACGCAAGCTGACGTACCTCTTGCATCATGGTGCTTATCTCACCCTTCGCCTGGGTCTCAGCTGAGGGCTCCTGAAGGTGACTTTTCAGACAAGGTAGCAAAGAAATAGGAAAACCCAGCACGTCGCTGTCTATTGAGGGCCTCCTGTCCTTTCCTAATAGGTCCTGGGCTCCTCTTCTACTATGGAGAAGTTCCTGGAGTTTGGAGGTGTGAGGGAAACCCTCTGGGGTCAGACTTTTCTTGGATAGGCTCAGTAGCCTGTGGAAAAGCATCAAAATTTGTCAAGTGCCTTTTTTTTTGCTGCTTTGAACCTGGGTCTCAACCCTGGCAGACAAGTTTTCCTATAGCTTTTGTGGCAGATGTTTGCCAAACACGTCGTGTGATCGATAGCGCCGTCTCTTTGGCCAAGAGCGTGGCAGAGGAGGGGGGGGGGTGCTCTCACCCCCTGGCTGGAGGGTTTCAGCTGATGTTGAGGGGTCACCGTGCCCAAGGAGCCTTGTACAAGAGGTGCCTCGGTAGAGCCACGCGTGGTGAAGCAGGCTATAGCAGAGGTCCTCGGGGATGGGCGAGGGACACAAGCACCCATGGTGCTGGCCATCGGTGAGCTCTTCCAGTCAACTATAACTCCAAGCAGGACAACGGCATGGTTGCTACCACGTCACTGCAACTTCAGGAGAAGATGTGGCTATCACAAAGGAGCACCCCTGTGCTGACCTGGGGTCTACAACTATATAAGTGAGGTTCTGGCACAGCTGAGGACCTCGTAGGCTCTGCCTGCCCTGTCCTCTTCTCACCGCGATGCTAGCCTGGCAGCAGCATCGCCTGTCCCTGCTCCAGATGCATACTTTTGTAGCAAGAGTTGGCATGGGAGAGTGTCACCACCTTCTCCCCCGAGTCCCCGGGCTCTGCCGCGGAGGCACATGGTGCACAAAGGGTTAGGTGTCTCGCAAGCCAACGGCTACCCAGGTTTTTTCCCCTCTAGCCAGGGTTACTAAGGGAGAGATCCCTCCATCCGCGCACACACCCTGTCCGTTTGGCAGAATTCCTAGCTGGATTTATTTCTGCCGATTTGCTTGTCTTGGTATGAAAGGGAT